AAAGAGATTAAAGTCCAAGTAGTGGACAAATATCCTTGAAAGGGGAATATTTCTCTCGAGGCCCCAGAATTAAATGAAGAAATAGCAGCTACTCTGAACGAAACGGGTGCCAAGAGGGATCAGCTATTTATCCAAGAATAGAACTTAGCTGGTTCAGCCTTATCAGCATTAGGACAAGGCATCACGATGATTTTAAAAGATGAGGAAAAACCCCTAGATCGTCTGGAGATACTAGAAAAATTAGCGGACGCAGGAAAGCTAATTACGCAGCTACATTTCCAGGTCTCTTCAGCTAGAAGAGCGTTTATCTCTCCAATATTGACCAAGTCAATGAAAAATCTGTTACAGACGACCAAGCCTGGGTCTCTGTTGTTTGGAGAGAAGCTAACGGAAAAGATAAAAAATGCAAAGTCAATGGAGAAGATCGGCAAAGAGATTAAAGCCTCTCCTCTTCCATCGACCTCTGGTACTAGCAAGAAACCAAGCAGGCCAGCCCCTAGACGCACTTTAAACTGGCGGGGCCCGTATGCGAGACAGGGGAACTCGTATCAGGGCCTAAAACAGTATCAGACGAAATTCCCCCCATCTCAGCCGGTCAGCAAAGGGTCCCTGAGCTTTAATAAAGAATTGCATTTTTCGGCAGAAGACGAAAAACTGTTAGAATACGAAATAACAAAACGGGTAGTTATGGGGGCAATAATCAGATGCGAAGCTGTAGAAGGCCAATTTTTATCACCGTTTTTCTAGTGCCAAAGCCAGATGGCTCTAAGAGATTCATACTAAACCTTAAATGCTTAAATCAATATATAAAGACCAGTCATTTTAAGATCGAGGATATGAGAGTAGCCTTGAAATTAATTTATAAAAATTATTTTCTAGGATTTTAGACTTGAAAGATGCATATTTCTTGGTAAAAATTGGTCCGGGTAGTCGTAAATTTTTAAGATTTAAATTCAAGGGTCAAATATTTGAATTTCAATGCTTGCCCTTTGGACTTTGTACAAGTCCGTATGTATTTACAAAGTTACTAAAGCCAGTCCTGAACTTTCTTAGAGAAAGGGGATGGTTATCGACAGCGTACATAGATGATACACTTTGTATCGGCAAATCTCGGGCCGTGTGCAAGAAAAATGTAGCAGTCACGAGGAAAACTCTTATAGGTTAGAGATTTTCTCGGATGCATCGCTCACAGGGTGGGGTGCGCACTGCAACGGAGAAAATACTCACGGATTTTGGTCTCAGGAGGAGAAGAGGTTACATATAAACCAGCTGGAGATTATAGCAGCGTTTTTGGCGCTTAAGTGCTTTGCTAGGGAAGTCCAAAATTGCGAAATCTTACTTCGAATTGACAATACGTAGAACTTAATCAAGGGCTAAACATATTTGGACTTGGTGCGAGAAAAGAAGAATCTGGATCTTTGCTTCCTACATCCCCTCGCGGGAAAACACAGACGCAGTCAGGGAATCTAGAAGAGTCAATGTAGATACTGAATGGGAGTTAGGAGCCCCCTTCTTTCAGACCATAGTAGAAAGGTGGGGGTTTCCAGAAATAGACTTGTTCGCATCAGGGAGTAGTGCTAAGACCGAGGTGTTCTGCTCCTGGAAACGAGACCCAGAAGCTCGTTACATTGACGCTTTTACAGTTAATTGGAGTAAATACCTTTTTTATGCATTCCCTCCCTTCGTGATGGTTGCTAAGGTGCTACAAAAAATCAATTCAGATAAGGCTCAGGGAATAGTGGTGGTCCCTCACTGGCCTACCCAGCCTTGGTTTCCCTTATTTAAATCAATGCTATTAGAAGAACCGTTGTATTTTTCGCCCTCACCTAAGCTTCTGTTATCTCCTTGCAGGTCTCTAATTTACCCGTTAACGGATCATCTCTCCCTGGTTGCAGGGAGGCTCTCCGGCGATCGTATCAACAGAAACTAGTGCCAGCAGAAGCAGTAGAGATTCTAATCTCTTCACTAACGGATTCTATTCTGAGACAATACAACACAGCCCTTAAAAACAGGTGGAGTTACTGCCAGAGTGAAAAGAGAGACCCCCTACAACCAGATATTTACCTAGTTTTAAAATACTTAACATTTCGATTCAATCAGGAGGCGTCATACGGCACACTTAATTCAGAGAGATCAGCGATTAATCTGATAAGCACGATAGACTTGGGTAGTGATCCTGCAATTAGTCGTTTTTTTAAAGGAGTCTGTAAAAACAGACCACCGAAGCCTAAATATGACACCACCTGGAACACAGAGGCAGTTCTAAACTGGACAGAAGCACTGGGACCGCTGAAAGTCCTGGACCTAAAATCTCTCACCTTTAAGTTGGTATCTTTACTAGCCTTAGCTACAGCCCATAGGGTTCAGACATTGTCCCTAATCAAAATAAGTGACATGACAGTTTCGAAGAGCAATGTGATCATAAAGATCGGAGCAAATTAAAACATCTAGAGTCGGAGTTGCACAACCCTCGTTCAGTCTACCATTGTTTAAAGAGCGAAAGGGCACTTGCGTCGCCACGGTGTTGTTGAAATACGTAAAAAGAACCAAAGTTCTAAGAGTGAATGAAGACTACCTGTTTATTACATTTAAGAGGCCCTACCATAGGGCAACTGCGCAATCAATAAGCCGCTGGATAAGGTGCTGTCTCGTGGAAGCCGGAATAGATCCCAAATAGACTGCTCACAGCACGAGACACGCAGCCACGTCTGCTGCAGAGGCGAGAGGTTTAGATGTAAACATCATAAAGAGTACAGCTGGATGGTCAGCCAGCTCACAGGTGTTCGCAAAGTTCTACAAACGCCCGATAGAACCAAGAAAAGAATCGTTTGTAGAGGTGTTATTCAATCAACAGGGTGAATAAGTCTAAAATAAGTCTAAGCTTGAATAATGATTATGGCATTAAGCTCTGTAACAGGTATTAAGGAATAAGGACTAAGTTGGTTTGCTCTAAACATCTACGATGTAATCTCGAAGAACGAGACTCGTAATATAATTAAAAATCAAAAGAACTTACCTTAAGTGAAGTTCGATTGTAATTATATAAGAGTCTCGTTCGAGATGATTACAGCCCTCCCAAAAACTTTTATCCTGAAAAATTTTTTCCCCACCACTAAAGTGGAGAGTTTGGTTACAGATTAATTCCATAATTTTGGAGTGAGCTTTAAACTGTATGACGATTAGCCGCTAGGGTGCGGCGTAGGAGCAGGCGGCGGGAAGCCGAAATTTTAAATTTATTCTCTAAAACTTGTGGTTGGATCTAGTCAAAGTAGCGGTACTACGATGTAATCATCTCGAACGAGACTCTTATATAATTACAATCGAACTTCACTTAAGGTAAGTTCTTTTGATTTTTAATTTTTTGCGATAACTTAGAATTAGTGGACGTAATTATAGATCGTTTGTTTATTTAATTATTTTTTTGTTTGTTACATAAAATATTTGTTTATAATGTTTTGTTTAATGTTTTTTTTTAAATACATATTTTTGTGATGTATGCTTATTCGTTCAGCAAATATTTTTTCCTCCAGGTTTTTAATCTAAACTAAGATTTTTATAACCTAATTCGGCAATTTTGGGACCTAAAAATATCTCTTTTTATTCATTTTTTAACGACCTAAAATCCGAAGCTTATATATAACCCGTAACCTAACCCTTAGAATGTCGTTGCAGTTTTGCAAAATTCCACAGATCGACACAAGAGAAAAGTAAGGAAAGATATTTTAAATCAAGCTGCACCTGATGTTATGCGGAATAATATAATATAATCACTCCATTAAGTTAATTTTTTCCAAGATCTGGTATATTAGAAAAACCTTTTTAATATTTATTATAGTAATTAAAACGAGACAACAACATAGTTTCTCAATTGTCTTTGACGCAGATTCATAGAATTCATTTACGATTAATAATTATACTTAAAATTATTTTAAAACATATAAGCTGTTTCACTTGAAAGTTACACCACATAGATGCTTTTTTTTTAACTTTTAACCGCTTCCCACAATTTAACAAATTTAGAATCCCTAGTGAAAAAAAAAGAACCACAATATTTAACATAACGTTTTTTTGAATAACTATTTTCAACATATTTGGTTGTTTGTTAAAAACATGGTTACATTTAAAAACTTTCAATTCTACCATATTTAAAGACGGAAATTGCTATTATTTTCAAATAGGCAGCACTCTAGTTAAAGAGACTGAACGTTGTAATTTTTTCTATTATTATTATTATTATTAATATTATTGATTAACAAACCCAGCAACTATAATTTACTGCTGGTCCCATTAAGGGTGGTTAATATTGCATCGAATAAATCTCCAACTAATCAGTCTGTAGACGATGTTGTCAACACGTTGTATTATTTTGTCTGATTGTTTGTAAATTTGTAGTTCATTTTAAACTGTTCCGGGTTCTAATACAGTTTAACAGTCATGAAATGGTGTATAAACCACGTATCACCTATTCAAGTTTCACTCTTTTGTATATATCAAATATTTCAAAGTTTCTGGATGTTTTTACTTAAGTATTACATCATAATAACAGTAATAACACACTTCGTAATTCCTCACTCAAAATTGATAAAATAAGTTCACTTATGGCATTTAAACACGGAAGTGTCTAGTGGTAGGTCTTGGTGAACTTGGCAGTTTTTGCTCGTACCGGTTTTTGGTCAACCTAAGACTATTTTTAGTTGATAAGTGTGGTGCCGATCATAATATGCTTACAATCTGATCCACAAGAATTTTAGGAATTCTCGAGCTTTATCATTCTGTCAAAATACTTTATTGCCCTTATGGATTTTCATAATATCATGTTTAATTATATTTTTCAAACAAGTATCTATGACATAATTTATACATAACAATTAGTACAAGTGTAATCCATTTATATACGCAAGTACATCATTACGTACATATTTTTAATTTCCCTCATATCTTAGATCCTTTTACAGTAAATATGTCCAACAAGATCATTGAATAGTGTCAGTTACACAATAAATATAAAGCTGTAATCAATCTTCTACACTTGTAAATAATTCCTGGCAACACATTGCCAGGCACAATTTAATTGAAGCAATAAATCACAACAAGAAATGAGTTAATTTGCGTAAACAAGGAAAACTATTTTCCGCAATCATTATAAATATTTCCAGAAAATCTGAGTGATCAGTGTACAGAAAAACACCAACATGAACAGTCTTCCTGCCCTACATTTAATATTACTAATAATAAACTTTACACACTCTGCTAAACTACGTAAGTACTAACCCCTAAAAAAATTTAAATACAACTATACCGCAGCATCCAATTTAAAAAAATGCATCTACGGAGACCCAAATTTGGGAAACTGTTTAGCTAGAGCTGTGGAAAATGAAGCTTCGCTGCTAACCCAACCCATCAAAAGCATTGGTTTACCAAATTTGGAACCTCTCGACATACACTCGTTTTCGATTGGGTCTGGAACCGGTCCTGTACAAGTACAAGAAAATTTTGAAAATGCAGTAATGTATGGATTAAAGGACATTCAAATGCAAGATGCGACGTAAGTTTTGTTTTAAAGAATCTTCACAACTGAATTTAGAGTTGCAGATTTAACCTAGAGGATATGTCCATGAATTATACTGGGTTTCTACCAAAATTGAAAATTCTGGGGAACTATCGTCTCAATGGAAGGGTACTACTTTTGCCCATTGTAGGTAGGGGGAATTGTACGATAATTTTAAGTAAGTGCTATTTTTAAGAGTTAAAAATGTGTGGTCATTTACATATTGTAGCAAATCTGACTGCTGTTGTACATTTCCCTTTGGAAAAAATACAGAAGAAAGGAGAAATATATATACGAATTACTGCATCCAAAGAACTAAAAATCCCAAACTTGGGTCGTCTGTACATGCATTTGGAAAATCTTTTTGACGGAAATAAAGAATTGGGTGATACTCTGAACACCGTCCTTAATGAGAACTGGAATTCAATATGGGACGACGTTAGGAGTGGTTGGGAAATATTTTTCGCCGAAACCGTAGCCCGTATATATAACAGGTTTTTCGCTAAAGTGCCCCTGCGAGAGATGGTCGATAACCTAGATCCAAAATTTCTCGCCTAGGTTTAGTTTGGCGTAGTGGTTTAACTATGAAACTAACAAATATTAATTTAAAGTATTTTTTAATCCTCGTCAGGATTAGTATAGTTCGCCGACTGGTTTGATAAGCAACTCGTGGACCTGAAAAAATAAAGTTAACACTGTAACAGGTTGTTCAGTTTTTTACCTGGACGTGTTCTGGGGTGCTCAGGGCGTAGATAACACCGTCTGCTATATCTTCAGGTTTCAGGGCTGCGAATTTTTCAACGATGGCCTTGATGGTTGGGTCCAGGTCTTTTTTTAGCGAGGTCATCTCGGTGGTGACGAGCCCAGGGCTGACGCTCTATAGGAAAAATTTTTAGTAAAAGTGCCAACTGATTTTTAGATGAATTTAGTAATTTTTTGGAATTCCTACCGATGTTTAGTTACAGCTTTTTAATAATGCTTTTAACACTTTTCTTTTATTTTGATTTTTAAATGTTTAATAAAAAAAATTAAAATTTGTGGACCTGTTTTGATATTTACAGTTTTTAAATTGTTTATACAGAGTGTTACAAATATTGATCCGTATGTTGCAACTCAAAATCATCCTTGTTATTTGCTGATTGTCGATTGACGAGTGATTTAAGTCTGACAACTCTAAATCCAAAATCGCACATGAAGCATTTTTCGGATCAAGGTTTTCTTGTATCAATGATAACCAGTTTTTTGGACTCTCACAATCGACTTATGCAGACCCTAATTGCAAAACTCTGCATTCATTTAAAAGTTGTAAGAATCGTACAAAATAACAGAGTAAACAGCTTGTTTAGGTCAATGAATAAAATAGTGTGCAATCATTATCAGACCGGTTGTATTAAATTTATATATGAGACAAGGCTTCACACTGCAGAAAATGAACAGCATTTAGTTGTTCGTAGGGAATCACGACGATATGTTCTTTCAGTTGTTGGTAGTTGGTACTTTTGGTATATATAATGGCAGGTGAAAAAGCCAAAAACAATGAATTTTGTCAGGAAGATTCGAAATTTACACGCATTCAGTACCAAGATCAAGGCCAGAAACATTTACAGATTTCGGTAAGCCACAGTTTAAAAAAAATTGAAAAAGTTTGAAAATGTCTCTCGCGGTGTACGATTTTATAATCGTCGGACTTGGTCCTAGCGGGACTATAGTTGCTAACTTTGTTATCAGAGATCTCGTTCTCGAAAGTACTTCCTAACAACAGTACCACTTCTGGCACCTATTTTTCAACTCGAACTATGGAACTCAAGACGGTGTACCTAGGCATGGAAGAACAGAGTTGTGATCAAGTACATGATGTACACTGGTAGACACCCGAAGGACTACCAGGAATGGTACGATTAAAGAATGATGGATGGTCGTAGGACGACGTTCTGCCCTATTTTAAGAAATCGGAAGACTGTAGACTAGGGAAGGAGTGTTTCAACGGGTACTACAACCAAGGAGGTTTGTGATCAGTAGAGTAAGATTACAAATCGAAAATTGGGGCTAAAGTCACTGATTATCATAACCCGGAGGAATTATGCAGCACTTTCCCACCTTCAAGCCAGTGTTAAGCTAATGCATTACTTCACTCTTTCGCATATATTGCTAGAGCTTCAAAGGAGGTGATTCTTTCAGCGAGCGCTTTAAGTTCTCCACAGGTTCTGATTGAAACCTTGCTGGTCTTGCTAGTTAAAGTTTCGTTATCGGTTAAAATCTGTTTTGAGCTGAAGATTCTATGTAGCCTTCTGCAGCATTTCAGGTTTTCAACCGCCTAGACGAAAGCGTCTAGGCGTCTGTCTTTACAGTCGTTAAATCAGCACCACTGTCTGCCAACAGAGTGGCTGATGTTCTTCTCATGCAGTGCCCAGTATATAATTTAGCATCAAAAAGCTTCAAATAGCTTGCAATAATTTCGAATGTTTTTTTTTGACACACAACAAACTCGTTTTCTTGATAATTGTTAGCCCACTTTATTTAAATGCATGCGTAACGCGCAATCGTGATTTTCATTTATTGTTAATTTAACCGGTTGGGAGGAAAGTTTCGTATGCATCTCTGGAATAAACTGTCTTGATCCCTCGACAAAAAATTAAGACCTACATTCTCACGCTTAATATGGTAGTTTATTCCGTTGATGCATAAATAACTATTAATAAAGTTTCTAGTTTAACATGGTGTGAGTTTCGATTTGAGATTAGCCAGATCGTTAAAGTCACTTTTTTTTTCGTCCGGAGCAACATAAGTTTTTTTACTTATCAGTGTGGTGAGTGCAGTCACAATTACATGTACAACTAACGGTTTTGTTTATGTCATATACACCCCTATATTTTAATGAAGAATGATGAATAATTTGAAGAATTTTTGGGATCAAGGTTTTCTTGTCTGGCAGACAAGTTTTTCTAAAATAAAGCAAATGATTGTGCAGGTAATAGTTGCTGCAGTCTGCAGTTTTTTCAGGTAAATGGAAAATGACTAAAACAATGTTTGGCTAATAACAGACCGGTTTTATTAAAATATATGGGACGGTTGAGAATTTAGATAAAGAGGAGCATTCCAAACAACTGAAACGTAACTCAAAAGGTCAAGGCTGCTTACATACCACTCTTAAATTTGCAGAAAAAAATTTAGTTGTTCGTCCAAAATCTCGACGACATGTTCAATCTACTATTTGTAGTCTTAGTACATATCGTGGCAGGTGAAACCGTCTTTACAAACGAAAGACAGCGAATTGTGCCAGGAAGTTTCGAAAGTTATCCACACTCAGTACCAAGATCACTGCCTGAAACATTTACAGATTTCGGTAAGTCAGAATTTAAAAAAAAAATCAAAAAATCTGAAAATGTCTCTCGTAGAGTACGATTTTATAATCGTTGGATCTGGTTCCAGCGGCGCTGTAGTTGCTAACCGTTTATCAGAGATCTCATCCTGGAAAGTACTTCTTTTAGAAGCAGGAAATCCGCCGAACCTTCTAACAAGGGTACCACTTCTGGCACCTATTTTTCAAGTAACCCCTTACAACTGGAACTACACCATGGAACCCCAGGAAGGTGTTTGCCTAGCCATGGAAGAACAGAAATGTGCTTGCCCAAGAGGAAAAGCTCTTGGTGGTAGTAGTGCAATCAACGGCATGGTATACGGCCGTGGGAACCCAAAGGACTACCAGAAATGGTACGATTTAGGAAACGATGGATGGTCGTATCGTGACGTTCTTCCTTATTTTAAGAAATCGGAAGATTGTAGACTCGGAAAGGAGTGTTCAAATGGGTACCACAACCAAGGAGGAATGTGGTCAGTAGAGCCCGTTTTTAGATCGAAAATTGGGGCGGCTTTCATTCAAGCGGGAGTCGAAATGGGTGGCAAAGTCATTGATTATAACTCGAAGGATCATATTGGATTTTCCTATCTTCAAGCCAGTGTTAAGCGAGGGCGACGACACAGTACAGCTGATGCATTCCTCTACCCTTTTACTTCTAGAAAGAATCTTAAAATTTTAACATCAGCCCGAGTCACGAAGGTGTTGGTCGACAGTGGAGGAAATGCCTACGGTGTGGAATTTCAGAAAAGAGGAAAAAAATATGTTGCTCGAGCTTCAAAGGAGGTGATTTTATCAGCGGGTGCTTTAAGTTCTCCACAACTTCTGATGTTGTCAGGGATTGGTCCTCGAGGGCATTTGTCTGAGTTGGGAATCACCACCATTACGAATCTTCCGGTTGGTCAACTGCTTTACGATCATATAGTGTTTTTCGGGTGGTTCTTTAAGGTTAATCAAATCCTCGAATTCCCAGCAGCTGTTTTCAACCCTTTGGAGACCTTCCGGTGGCTGTTTAACGGCACAGGAGTCTTCTCTAGCGCAAATGGAGTCGAAGCACTAGGTTTTATAAATACTGGTTCCACTCCGGATCCCAATTATCCAGACATTGAGCTGGTTTTTGCCAGCCTCGGTACAATAGGGAGCCTTTCTGGTAAAATTTTATCCCAGAGTTTTCGTTTAAAACCCAGATTCTACGACGTCGTATTCAAATTATTGGAAATCACCCCAGCGTATAACATTTTCCCGATACTTCTTCATCCACAATCGAGAGGCTATATGAGGTTAAAATCGAGAAACCCTTACGATCCACCTTTATGCTACGGCAACTATTTTTCCGATCCAGAAGGCAGAGATATCAAGACATTGCTAGCTGCCATACGGTATGTACAAAGGATGAGTCAGACGACATCTTTCCAGAGGTTTGGGTCTAAATTGTACGATGCTCTTATTCCAGGTTGTGAGGGGTTTGTTTTCGATTCAGACGAGTACTGGTTTTGTGCTTTGAGGAGCTTGACGATGAGTGCGTTTCATCAGACGGGGACTTGTAAGATGGGGCCGAAGAGCGATGAAGAGGCTGTTGTCGATGAACGGTTGAGAGTGTACGGAATTAGGGGCCTGAGAGTAATTGATGCTAGTGTGATTCCTGTGACGTTGTCGGGTCATATGAGTGCGCCCTGTGTGATGATTGGGGAGAAAGGGGCGGACATGATTAAGCAAGATTGGGGAGTGTTGTGAAAGGTTTAGAGGGATTGAATGGGGAAGAGAAAGGCAGGAAGGCAGCTGTTTAAACCAAATTTATAGAATATTAAACAAAAACAACTCACAATAGAAGATATAAATTGGGAAATGAAAAACCATTAGGAAAATATAATATGCTCGCTTTAAGATAAAGTTCTGGAATTTTTAGAGCTTCTAGATAAATATAGACATCTATAAATCATTATCGAAAAGATGTTTAACGATTAAAATTTTTTCTAGTTTTTGTCTATTGTAGTTTTATTTGTTCTTGGGAATTAATAGTGGGAGTAGTAGTGTTTTCAGTGATAATGATAAATTTTTTGCAAAAAATTGTTCCAATGTGAATGAGAAAGTAAAAAAAAATAATTTCTTGAATTTTATTTATTTCTTATGACAACCCCTATAACCTAAAATAAACTGTTAAAATACGAGTGAAGAAACAGTTGCCTAAATAAGAGCCCCGCATCCCCTGTGGCGAGGAGGGCACAGTCCACAGAGATATGACAATATTAAATATAACTATTTAAAGTAAATAATAACCAACGGGAATCGTCGGATTCATCGTTCCATATAAAAGGTTGTTATACAATTTGGAGTTTTTGTGAAAATTTTGATGTCTGAGGTATAAACTCACGGCGGATTTATAAACCACAACTATAGGAGTATGTTATTTTGTAGACTTTAAGTAGCGTTTACTAAAAAAAAATTGAGTGAAAGTCATCAAATTTTTGGTGGCGATGATTAATTAGTTTTGGTTAACGTTTTATAATCTACACGATATATCAAAAATTCATATAAAATTTGATAACAATCGGTATAGTACTTTCGGAGATGGAGATTATCTGTCTAATCAAATTCAATACAGAGGACAGACAGACGACGAACAGATAGATGGAAACGCGAGACCTACTTTTTCGTACTCTCGGGGCCCTCACACGTTAAGAAAACATGAAAGTACCCATTCGACAGACGGACTCTATTGTAATACTTATTCCTTTAAGTTGGTGTGGATATTAAAAGGCTAACCAAAATTATTCTAATTATCTTAACTAACAATTTGATGACCTCATCTCGAAATTTTGCTGAATATAAACCATATAAATTTTATAAATTAAGATCATCCTGTACTTACTTGTTTTAATTTAGTAATTTTTCGAAGCAACAAAGGTAAAATTGAAGAAAGAATTAAAAGAAATGATTAAAAGGAGTATGGCAGAAGAGAATGGAAAAATGGAACAAATACTGAAAGAAAACGGAGAACTAAGAAATCACGTACAAATCCCTAGAAAGTAAAATTCAAAAGTTAGATGAGAAAGTGGAAAAACTAGAAAAAGTGAAGAAAAGAAGCGACTTGACAAACACTGACTATTAAAATTTTCTAAACGCGAAGGACAACGAAGAGTAGAAATATGTGTTGGAAAAGTTTTTCTATAGAGACGCTGAGAAGTGAAACAAAAACTAGAAATGCAAAGAAGTTTGGGGATAAAACATATGTGGTATGAGAAGGAGAAAAAGATTCAAAAACAAATATAGGGCAAAGATAAAACACGGAAAATTATAATGACGAAAAGGCGAGAAATAAGGACAAAGAAGAAATGAACTGGAAAAAAATAAACAAAAATTAAGAAAGTGGAACAACTAACAGATTAAGAAAGAAAGCCAAATATTGAATTAAACAACTGGAATGTGGGAGGATTACAGTGAGAATAATAGAATAGAAAGAAAAAGAAAGGACAAAGATGTAGGGAGGGCACAATCATAAGTGGGCTGCATAATTAACAAGAGATTAGAAATGGAATCAGAGAATGGAGAAATATTAACGATTGAATCATAAGATTGGAAATAGAACTAGGAAATGAAATACTTACATCAAATAATAATAGTCTATGGGCCAAATAAAGGAGAGGAATAAAGTACAAGAAGAAATCGTATAAAGGTTTTTTAATGCTGAGAGGAGATTGAAACGGGAGAGTTGGAGAAAACCATGAGAAATCATAAGGAAGAGTAAAAAAAATCCGGAAAGAAACTAAAAATACTGTACGCTAAATAAAATGATAGTAAAAATGAGAGTGGATAGATTGAAGCATCAAAAAGTATAGTAAATACTAGGAAAATAGAAGAAAAGATAGTGAAAATTAATAAAATGGATTTGGACGAACTATGGAAGACCTTTAAAACTACAGCCACATAAGCAATTGAAACGTGCGGAATCAACAGGAATAGAAATAAAAAGAGACACACAACCTGGTGGAACAATGGTGTAAAGAAAGAAGTTAAAGAGATGAACATCCTAAAGTACAGCCAACAACGGACCCTCTCAACAGCGGACGCGGACAGTAACATTTGGTACATAACAACGGACAGATTTATTTGTTACCAACATTTTACGTGGTAAACAGCTCAGGTACTGTTAACGCATTAACTAATTTTAAGTACCGCCCGCGGTACCCTATTATGACATACTAATGGTTTTATCATTATTCCATTTAATCCATTGTAGGTGTACGTTTTTGTATTGATATATGAATAAGTTGTATGTTGTGTTTGATTGTTAAATAAGAGCAGCGGAATGCGAGATAAATATTTGGTGTTTATTATCGGAAGGATACAGATCAACTCTCTGTTTCAAAGCCGGTGGTGGCCCGACCGAGCCCGTGAAGGCGGAGGGGGTAAAAACAGGCACCCCCGGGTCATTGGCTCTCACATAACCCCCCACCTTGAAACAATAGAAGTGTTTCGAAATACAGAATATATGCATATAATATTTTACACAGATCATACAGATAAACAAAAGTGCAAAGAAAGCAAGCAAATTATAGACACAAGTAGAAATGAATAGGAATGTCCAGATTTCTGGAATATAGATCATGGATTGATTAATATTAATCAATTGGCAACGCACACACTTTCGTAATTGCACGTTTAACTACACCACCTTTATGCCGCACTGACACTACACGCACCAGGCCGTCGTTTCCAGGATGTAATTGAGTAATACGCCCCAGCGGCCACTGTAACGGCGGTAGATTGTCGTCCTTTAGTACCACCAATGTACCAACTTCCGGAACTTTGGCGGATGTGTGCTGCCACTTGGCCCTGCTCTGCATCGTAGTCAAATACTCCTTTGACCAACGTCTCCAGAAATGCTGGCGGCAGGCCTCAATCAGCTGCCAGCGAGACAGCCTATTGGACGAAATGGCGGTGTGATCCTTTTCTACGGGGGCGGTTAGCGGATGCCCGATTAAAAAATGGCCAGGCGTAAGGGCCGAGAGATCATTCGGGTCGTTCGATAATGGCGTCAAGGGGCGTGAGTTTAGTACCGCTTCAATTCTGACCAACAGCGTGTACATCTCCTCATACGTAAGGTGATTTTCGCCGATTACGCGCTTAATGTGATTTTTCACTGATTTAATACCAGCCTCCCAGATACCACCAAAGTTTGGGGCTCGAGGAGGAATAAATTTCCACATGATATTTTCGTTTGCCAGTTTATTTTTAAAATTCTCGCTTTTAAATAATTGTTGAAGCTCTTTTCTCGCGCCTACAAAGTTAGTGGCATTGTCACTAAGAACGAAAGAGATATTTCCGCGGCGCGAAATTAATCGTTTCAGGGCACTAAGAAATGAGTCGGATGTCAGGTCGCCTACCAGTTCGAGATGTACTGCCTTTGTACTTAAACAAATAAAAAGGCAAATATAGGACTTAGTGGTTCTTTTCCCTTTTCCGCGGCCTTCTTTAATTAATAAAGGACCACCGAAATCAACCCCTACCTTGGAAAAGGGACGTGAGGGCATTATCCGCTCTTCGAGAAGATTTCCCATAATTTGACTGTAAGGTTTTGGATTGGTCCTATAACATTTTAAGCATTTACCAATTACCTTGCGAACTTGACGCCTGCCAGAAATCGGCCAATATTTTAAGCGCATTTGCGCAAGAGTACCTAATTGCCCCGCATGTAGCAGGCTTTGGTGTATATCTTGTATTATTAATTCGGTTATGTAATGTTTGAGCAACAAGATGGGAAATTTTTTATCAATTGGTAAAGTTTTGACATTGCTTAGTCTACCCCCCACCCTGAGCAAATCATTTGAATCTAGAAACGGATTAAGTTGTAAAATACTACTGTTACCAAGTTTTTTACTGTGAGTCAACTGATGAATTTCGGAGGAGAATGCCTCCTTTTGAACTAATCGGATTATCGTAATTTCCGAATGTTTCAATTCTTGCGTTGTTAAACTGCCCCTGATTTCCGGTTGTTTTTTGACTCTATTCCGTAGGTTTTTCATAACGCGCAGCCAACACGCAATTGCAACTTTTAATTTGCCAAAGGTTGAGTATAGGTCAAAGATAACATTTTTAAAAGAATTGGTTTGTAGATGCACTGCAGTTGAAACAAAGCGTTTTTCTAACAGTAACCCTTCGCCACAGGAGTCGCACTTGTCTACATTAGAGGCATTAACAATCGGAATTTCCATTTTATGCAGCCAAGCTGGACCATTAAACCACAGTGTATGTGTCGATAATTCCTTAGGAGAGGCACCACGAGTTATTATGTCGGCCGGGTTCTCGTTGCTTTTCACATGGTTCCAGTGACAATTATTAGTTAACTGCTGTATTTCAGAAACGCGATTAGCGACAAAGGTTTTTTTAATAATAATAATAATAATAATTTTAATTCCAACAGACTAACGTCTATGGTGGAAACACACAGAGTTACATTAGTAGGTACATACTTGTAAACATTAATACAGAAAAAAAAAAAAACTAACAAATTTCAACTTAAAACTAACAGGTTCTTAAAGTGAACAGAGGAAAAAATATGATATGATACGTTTACTTACATTGTGGTTTAAATATACATAAATATATACGCTTAATTAAAAATTTTTACAAACAATTAAAAATTTCTACAAACAGTTAATAGCTTTAATTTAAGTCTTGGATTATAAAAATTGTCAAAAAATACGTCTACTCCATGAGGTATTATACAATTAGACAGTCTTAAACATCTGATTAGTGGACTGTTAAAATGGTGATAAGTACATGGTACTTTGTAATAAAATGTTGTTGGAGTGCGACAGTTTACACGTGGACAAACAAACTTTATACTCTCTAATATAGATGTACAAGATATGTTACCGTTTATCAGTTTTTGCATAAAAGATATACATGCCATATTCCTACGACTTTGAAGTGAGGATTCACCTATAATATCAAATAGCGCTCTTGAATCACAGTGCTGAGGCGGATAAGTACCATACATTTTAAAATAGATGAATTTAGCAATTTTT